TACTTGGAGAGATTGACTCCATTTAACCTACTTTGTTGATACACTCATTTTCTATTTTTTCAGTAAGAAAAGAGGAGTGGCATTTAGCAATGCTTAAGGGTGTGACTAATAATTGGGCCTGAATTGGGCTTAGGCAAAATTTTATATATTAGACTCATTTTGCTCCTAATTTTTCATAGATTTGATTTAGCTAGGTTTCATCATCATTGGATGAACCTAACTAAATCAAATCAAACATTTCTGAAATTAATTCAAGGAGCCAAAAGAGACCAAACCCACCCACCTTGCCTAGTTTCTTTTCTTTGACCGAATTGCTTCTCTAACCTTCATGGAAATGAGAAGCTTGTGCTACAAACTTCTCCTTAGCTTGCTTCACAAGCAAGTTAAGTGAGAAGCTTGCTCCACAAGTTTCTAAACTCACCTAGAAGGTCAACTAACCTTACCATGATTCCTAGTGAACCACGGTTAAGGTTAACTTGCTCTTTAAGCTACCTACCTCTATATATTTGTAATTTCTACACTTGTAATCACTTTTGACATCTATGAGACTTAGAATTCAGAAATTCTCTCATTTCAAGAATTCAATTTCGTGGAGAATAATCTGCTTCTCCTAGAACCTTCACAAAGGAACTTCTCCTTTGTGCTTGGTTCCCAAGTTTCTCTCCTTTAAGAGAAACCGAACCACCTTGAGAAGCATCTTCAAGCTTTAGAAACTTGAACTCATCCAAATCTTCCATTGACGTGAAGAACCTCGAGAAGAAGGGACTTAGCATGGTTCAACTAGAAGAACATCAATCTTCTCCAAGTATTTCTATCAAATAAGCTCTTAAAACCTGAGGATACTATCCCACAACATACCTGCAACAGAAGTAATGACATATTATTAAACAAGGTATAACATCATTTAACATCGAGCAAATCAATACAAAAAGTTATAGATTCTTCTAAGGTGTTTTCCCTAATATTCATATCATTATCTGGTATACATTCTCCCAGGGTTTCAAGGCTTTTTGATAAATATTAAAAAATGGAGAAATCCTAAAAAGAAATGTTTGCGGATCTTTTCTGCTGCTTTCTCTGATATTGTCGTTTTTCAATTAATGTGGGACTGCTGCTTTCAATCAAACTTGGCCGAGGACTACCATATTTATGTATATAAAACTTTGAATTTCAAAACCTTTTCACTAAGGAATCTTTTATATGTGAGATTTCTCGCTTTTAAACATTTGGCCGAGGACTATAAAAATCTTTGGTTTTCAAAACTTTTTTCACCAAGGAATATACTTGGCCGAGGAATCTTGTACAGCTTTATGCTTCAATTGTTTGACCAAGGGCTAATATATATATAACCTTGGCTTTCAAAAGTTTTTTCACTGCGGAATCTTTAATACGTGAAATTTTTATCTTTTAAATATTTGGCCTAAGGCCAAAATGGTTTCCTTAATTGGCCGAAGGCCTTTTGATACGTAAAACTCTCACCGAGGGTATAAGACGGTTTTAATTTTAGATTCCTTTGACTATTATATACGGTTTCCTTAATTTGCCGAGGAATAAAACGATTTTCTTAATTTTAGATTCCTTTTAATTCCTTTGACCGAGAGCATAAATCAAGTAATTTTTGATTCCTTTTAACTGCTTTGACCGAGGGCATAAATCAAGTAATTTTTGATTCCTTTTAACTGCTTTGACCAAGGGCATAAATCAAGTAATTTTTGATTCCTTTTAACTGCTTTGACCGAGGGCATAAATCAAGTAATTTTTTATTCCTTTTAACTGTTTTGACCAAGGGCATAAATCAAGTAATTTTT